GGTCAGGGAGGGAGGGAGGGGTGAGAGTAGAGTGATCGACAGGGGAGGAGGAGCAGGAGGAGTTTGATGACGACACCATACGTCACCGGGTCTGGTCACGCTGACTGACCGCTACTCCATAACGGCTAAGATGATCCTCACTGACCGCAGGAAGCTCTCGAGCATCCTCCCTCCCTCACTCTTCTCCCTCACCTCTTACCTCCCCAACCCTCCCCCCTATCATGTCGTTGAAGGTTATAGGACAGTATCTCACTTAACCTAACTTAACTATACCATAACTATCCTAACCTAACCTAAACCAACTCAACACCTAACCAAACCAAAGCTATCCTAACGTAATCAATCCATAGCCAACAAAACATATCCTAACCTAACTAAACCAAACCTAACCTAACCTATCCTATCCTAACCTAACTTGACTTCAAAATCTACCCCGACTCAACCAAAACTAACCTATCCAATCCCAAACTATCCTGACAGTATCAAAAACATAAGGAATCCCAAAATAATGGAATATTTTGCTGGTCAACATTTTTAGATTCAATGGGCAATAATCCGGCTGTAATTTTTACGGTTGTAGAAAAAAAAAGTCACTAAAATGTGATATTTAATTTATTTATTCCTGTATTTTTTTTCCTAGCCAAAAATAGACTTTTTTCCTGTTATTGTTATTGTTTTTTTCGTTCACCATTAGTGGGGAAGATTGTCCGTAGGAGAAGTGGGGGGAGGGGGGGGGATCAAGTCCATATACCTCCGTCTCTTCCCCCCCTCCCCCTCTCTCTCTCTCTCCCTCACCCTTGGTCACGCTCCCGGCCCGCATGCATGACTTATCTCCTCTCCTGCTTATGTTTCATGGAGAACCAGGCTGAAAGGGGCTGCTGTCACCTAGCCTACATAAGATGACCCGTATGTCGTTTAAATACCTGTGTGTACGCGCGCGTGTGTGTGTATGTGTGTGTACGTGTGTGTGTGTACGTGTGTGTGTGTCAAAACGCTAATGAGTGCTGTATATATTTAGTGGAGTTCCTCGTGCCTGGTTCTTATGTATACTAAAGTCACTACGGGAAGCATAATTAAGAATAAAGGGACAACTTTTCTTATGCCTTGATCTTACAGTCACTATGCGTCATACTGGTCAGATAATCATTGACTTACCTTGATCGACACGACACACCTCTTTATCATAGCTATATATAGTCCTTGATACGTGTAACTGCTCTCTCTCTTTCTCTCTCTCCTATCATTATCTTTCTTTTTATCTTTTCATCTTTGTCTTCAGTTTTATCTCTCTCTCTCTCTCTCTCTCTCTCTCTCTCTCTCTCTCTCTCTCTCTCTCTCTCTCTCTGTCTTCGTTCGTATCCTAGCATGAGAGGAGGTGAGGGTGAGGACAGTGAGTGCCTTGCATACAGACACACTGGGTCACGGCCACACTGAGGAGTCTTCCCGGCGGCGGCCACGTCTCTCACCTGTAAGAGTCGTGTGACGTCATCCAGGTCTTTAATGTGTGTACCTTTAAGAAGTGACTGACCCAAGACGTCCACATGATCACACTCCTACAGGTATCTATAGATGATTGTTAACTATTATTCTGCTGATTACTTGAAGATTAAATTTGAGTTCTTTTTTAGTTACTAGACACTTTTAATTCGCGGAAAAGAATTAATTTCATGATGCACTTACACACATTGAGTGTTTGTCTGTTAGTATATGAGGGGTGGAAAGTTTTTCTGTGTATAATTAGGAGTTTAGAACTTGTCATTATATTATGATAATTACCCAGTTTCTCTTTCATCGTTCTTACGGTCCCAGGCCCGGGGGTTTCCCGCCTTCCAGGGGTCTACTGTTGTTGTTATTCTCATTGTGGACCCTCACCCCTCCCCTTGCCGCCCCTCCCTCTCTTTCTCCCCCTCTACCGTTCCTCCCCAGTAGCTATACACGCTGCACACGACCTGTTTAAAGGTTTTACCCCTCCCTCCCTCTACCCCCCCCCCCGCTAACGGAATCGAGGTGCATATACAGTATGTATGTATTTATACACAGCATACTGTATATATTTGGTTAATTGTAGGCAGGAGTAGAGGACTGGCTCCCTCCCTACACACAAACCTTTATTCACAAAACAATGACTACACTATCAGGTACTCTTGATGATGATGAAACAACCTCTGGGTGGACCAGCATCCTGCCAGAGTGGTGAGGTAACCCACTATAGCTGCTCAGTGTTAAGACCATCACCTGCCTGGCCACTTTCCCCCAGGGTTAAGACACAGACTAAGAAGAATTCTATTCTGTACAAAGAATCTACTACTGATAATGAACATATGATGGCTTTGGTGTGGTTATCCTTGGTTGAAATGTTATACTGTTTATCATTGTTTGTTTACCTGCACGACTTGTCTTAGCATGTACATGGAGTCGATGTGGTGTGTTGAAGGTCAGTGAGAAGATTGAATGCTTCAGTATGACATCTTGGTTGAGTATGATGATTTCATTCCTTGAGTGATGGCTTAACCCCTTGAGTATGTTGACTTATTTCCTCGAGTATGTTGGTTTAATTCCTTGAGTATTCTCGCTGACACCAACTGTAGGAGCATCGAGGCTACCATTATCCATGAACAACTACGGTGGACTGGCCATGTTACTGCATGGTCGACAGTAGACTGCCAAAGCAGCTACTTTACAGTCACCTATAGTAAACGTAACGCCGGCGGGCAACTGAAAAGGTATAAGGATAGTCTTAAGACAAACCAGAAAAAGTGCCAAATCGACCCCCTCACCTGGGAGACGATCACTCCACACACTAGCGCTTGGAGGATCACCACAGAAGAAGGTGTCAATACTTCAAGTTAGCCCGACTGCATAACAAGGCAGACAAGCGCCAACGCCGGAAAGACGCTGCCGCCGACCCTCCCGCACTAGAGTTAGCCCTCCACATGTGCAACGTTTGTGGACGACCCTGCCGGTCCCGTATCGGCCTCTTTAGTCACCTCAGAACTTCCAACGTGGGTGACATCCTTAATAACTCATATCATTGTATCATAGCTGGATGATTGTCATACTCGATTCCGAGTGACAGCAAAGTAGTAGTAGTAGTAGTAGTAGTAGTAGTAGTAGTAGTAGTAGTAGTAGTAGTAGTAGTAGTATTAACCCCTTGAATATGATGGTTTAATTCCTTGAGTATGTTGGGTTAATTCCTCCAGTTGTTGTTTACTATATTTCTGTATTGTTCCCGTCTAAATAAGTAAACTGCTTTCACATCAATTCGAATTTCTTTCTGTACTTTTTCTTTAATAATTTTCTCCTCCTCTTCCTCTTCTATTTTCTCCTTTATCTGAGCTGTTCGTTTCCCTTAATCTTTCCCACGTAAAAGACAAAGATAAGATGACAGATATAGAAACAGATTATGATAACAGTAAGTCCTTAGAGATGGCTTCGGTGTGAATTATTATTAATAGTAGTAGTAGTAATAGTCTTGGTAGTACTAGTAGCAAGAAGGGGGGCTTCGTATGCATGAGGCATGACGAAGTAAGGGATCTAACAGCAAATTTACCGAGGGAAATCTGCCACGACGTCATGGTGGAACCGCCCCGCCTTCCATTGGACGGTGAGAACCTCCGTCACAGGACTTGAAACACGTGCAACAAAGCCCGTGTGGACGTCAGTGGTCGAGGATTCTGGACGCCGGGACAGCGAGCCTTTTTTAACTTCAGGATTTTTGATCCCATGGCCGCATGTCACCGTAACCTAGCTCTCGATGCTGCACACAAGAGGAACGAGAACGACAAGATTAGGGCATATGGGGAGAGAATTCAGAACGTTGATCAAGGCAGCTTCACTCCTCTAGTGTTCACAACCTTTGGCGGGATGGGACCAAGTGCAAGATGCTTTTACACCAGACTCGCAGAGGTGTTATCTGAACTAAAGCAGCAGCCCAGAAGTTATGTTGCAGCCTGGTTGAGATGTCGACTGTCCTCTCTCCTTAGGTCTGCATTGGTTTGCCTCAGGGGAACGAGAGCATCGGCCCCAAAGCCGACAACAGTCGCAGATATTGACTTTGAGGCAACAGTCACTGAATGCCGCATAGACCTGCGGCTCAACTAACTCAACACAGCTAGGAGAGCTACTTAACTATTAGGATAGTTAATTTTAAGGGAATAAAATAGCGGCGAAGGTGTGGCTATTGAGGGAGGCTGGAGGCCATTATACCCACCAAAAATAGTAGAAGTAGCAGTCGTATTTTCTTTTTGGGGGGGGGGTTAAGTTAGGTATGGTTGCATTAGGTTTGGTTAAGTTAGATGAGGTTATTTTGTGTTAGGTTAGGTTTAGTTAAGTTAGGTTAGGGTTAGCTAAGTTAGGTTAGATTTAGTTAAGGTAGGTTAGGTAAAGTTAAGTTGTGTTGGGATAGTTTAGATTGGGTTAAGTCAGATTAGGTTAATTAAGCTAGTTTGGGTTAGTTTAGCGTTTGGTTAAGTTATCATTAGCTTCGGTTAGATTAGCATTAGGTTAGGATAACGTTAGGTTCGCTAAGTTAACTTTAGGGTGAAATAAGCTTCGGAAACTAATCTTCAGGCGATAAGATTCACAACGGCAAGAGATGAGAACAATCATTTATATAAGACGAGATGACGGTAGTAATGAGGACCAATTAATTACTGATAGTGGATGAGAGAGAGGGAGAGAAGAGAAGCATAGATGGTAGTGATTGAAAGCTAACCCGTATTGAGGTACTTGGGGGTGGGGAGAGGTGGGGGGTGGTGGGGGTATGTTTTGACTGGACATCTGCCATAGAGGAGAAAAGGAGGAGGAGGAAGTGGAAGGTAGGAGGGGCTATGCATCAGTACTGGGTCAGGCAAAAGAATTAATGTCGAGAGAAGAGGAGGGAAGGGGAGGAGAGAGAGAGGAAAGGAGGGAGGGATGGAGGGGGAGGGGGGGTAGAGGAGGGAGGTTGGTGAGGAAGATGGGGGAGTGGTTGGGAACTTCTCACTTACCGTTCACACACACACACAGACAGTCGCGCACACCGACACACGCACACACGTCCCTCACTCGGCCTCAGTCGCTGCTGGAGAACGACACAGGTGACAACACTGCTCACACCTTCACCTGACACTCACCTGGAGGAGGAGCGGAGTCGAGGAGGACCAAGATTAATTACCCTCACCATCGCACCTGACTCATTACGTGTTCAATTTAGAAAGTTATGTGCTAAGGATTTAAATCAACTTGATAAACTTTCACCGAGGACTTTACAACAGTGGATTATACTAAAGCTTGATAGAAATAATATAAAGGATTATTAATTAATACTCAGGTGTGTGATTTACCTGTATTGAGTGACAAAGTCGGTGGTAGTTGTTGTGGTGGAGGAAGGAGTGGGTGTGTGTGTGTGTGTGTACTGTTGGGGGTGACATACGGAAGTTGGTACACCGACAGGAAGTATATACTGTAGAAGGCGCTGAAGATGCTGTCTGTACTTAGCATGACCGAGGGGCACCTAGAGGACGAAGGAGACGATGGCCCACACGCCCACGATGACGATGATCACAACCACGACAACCTGCCCCTCTCTAAGGCCGAGCTCAGGAAGGTATACAGTACACAATCATCATTTTCTTTTCCGTGTTTATTTATCATCAGAATAAACCAAACCAAATTATGGGTCACTTTATTCCTTGCATATATAAAAAAAACACAAAAAAAAACATAAACCTATTTTACATATATACTTTTGGGATGATAATAAACAAAACAATTGGTTTAATTTAATCTTTCTATGGTATTTTTGATATAATATTAATCAATCACCTCAGTCAAAAAAAATTACAGGCTTGATTTATTATGTTATAGTATATCACCTGAAGAATCTCCACCCTAGGTTATTTCACCCCCCAAAAATTAACCACAGTCATGCTATTTGAGGGATGAGGTTAGGTTAGGTTAGGTTAGGTTAGGTTACATTTGGATAGGTGAGATAAGGTGAGGTTAGGTTAGGTAAGGTTAGGTTAGGTTAGGTAAGGTTAAGTAAGGTTAGGTAAGGTTAAGTAAGGTTAGGTTAGATGAGGCTAAATTAAAGCTAGGATGGTAAATCATTAGGTGAAATAAGTTAAGGTGGAGATTCTTCAGGTGATCCACTGTATTAAGACATAATACAGTAAGTACAGGTCACTAACAGATCCTCCTCCTCCTCCTCCTCCTCCTCTTCTTCCCTACAGAGTAACAAACCCATCATGGAGAAGCGGAGGAGGGCCAGAATTAACACCTGCCTCGGCGAGCTTAAGAGTCTTATCCTTGATGCCATGAAGAAAGACGTGAGTTAATTTTTGTCTCTCTCTCTCTCTCTCTCTCTCTCTCTCTCTCTCTCTCTCTCTCTCGATCATCATCACTTCTGTATATTTCCCTCTCTTTATTATATTACCTATAATTCTCGCATGACAAAGATAATTATTTATTACTTGAATATATTTAAATACCCCCAGTGTAGTGGATCAGTGTAGTGGATCAGTGAGGTATTATGTCGTGATGACTAGACCAGGTGAAGCTATAATAATAATATAGGCAAAAGAAAGTCGTTTCATGGGTCATAAAAGTATAAAAGTAACGTCCTCCCGATATAAAAGTAACGTCCTCCCGATATAAAAGTAACGTCCTCCCCCGATATAAAAGTAATGTTCCCCCGATATAAAACTAACATTCTCGATATACAACTAACGTTTCACCTCACAAGACAAAGGTAAAAATTCGGCCAGGTATCACCATCTCTTCCCCAGACATATTAAACACCCTTCAGATAATGGTAACATACCCCAGGTGACACCCCCCTCTCCTCCCCCAGACGACAATACCTCCTCGTCGGATAAAAACTAACGATTCACAAGACATCAATAACGTCAGCTGTGTGGAAAATAACGCTCTTCACAGACAACGTTGACCTCGCGGGATAAAAACTAGTGTTTCTCAGACAACTGTAACTTCCCCTTGTAGAGACGTAACGTTTCACGGTCAACTGTGACTTCTCGTAAACAATGGCCAAAATCCGTTCACATATACTGTAGTGTACTGTACTGTACCAGGGGCGGCGTTACCCAGGACGATCTTCCTTCACCCTCTCCCTCTGTCTCAGTCATGACCACTTATTATGAGGGAACAGTGCTTGAGCTTCAGGTAACGTCCCTTGCTAGGAGAGTCTTTTGTTATTGTTCCTGTGTGTCTCGTGAGGGCCTGACCAGAGTGCCCATCTGTCCCAGCCAGTCCCCGGCGTGGCCACCTGTCCTTGCTAGTTCCCGGGGTGGCCACCTGTCCCTGCTACTCCTCGTGGTGGCCACCTGTCCCTGCTGATCCGGTGTGGCCACCAGCACCAAGGCGGTTTCCCAGTGTTCTCAGTCTACGACTCGTACTTCCCCTGACCCGGCCCGCCCCCGCGCCCTCACTGTCTCCCACGCCTGTGACACCTCCCACGCCCGCTACCAACCTCCTGGCCTGGGGGGAGTGTCACCACACCACCGTCACGCGCCCACAGTGGTAGCCACGCACACAGCCACACGTCCCCACGCGCACCTGCTAACTCTTATAGTTACCCCCTGAAGGTACAGCTAATGCCGCCACTTCCTGTATTAGTCATTGTTCTCTGCTATACTCGAGGGCCTGCACAGCGTGATGCCACAAGTACCGTTGTTCTGCCAACGTCACAGACTTCCAAGAGCGATGGTAATACAGGAGTAAACTTTGAGTGGCAGGTAGTTGAGGGTAAGGCTTCATGACCTGACCGTCCAGGAGCAAGGCTTCAGGAGAGGAAGTTAGTGATAGAGGATCAGCGACAAGGTAAAGGAGAGAGAGAGAGAGAGAGAGAGAGAGAGAGAGAGAGAGAGAGATCAGGACTTGATGAACAGGGACACCTTAGTTTGTTATCCTTCAACATAGGATCTCCCGGAGTTAGCACCGCTGGGGTTATGTGGTCGATGAACGCCAATTGACACAGACATGTTAATGGGTTCTTGATAACCCGGAGAAGGCTGCGGGCGCGGGCGTGAGAAGCTATGAATGAGTACACTGAGTCTTCCCCGCGGCATCCTGGTGTTTCACAATACTCCGTCGTATTAACATTGTTTATGTGACAGAAATCGATATATGTTAAGCGGATACTGTATATAATCCTTGAAGTAGTTGCGTATCGTCTTAAGTTTTCCTAGAGAAAGCAGAGGCCTCGTAACTAAACACGAGTGTGTCTCGGTGTGGTGGGCGGAGGCGGGAATTGTGTCCTTGTTGAGCGGAGGGAAGGCGTGGGAACGGAGGGGGCCCGCCGGACGGATTCCTCCACACAGGTTGGCCCGGATCCCCATCCTACCCACCACCAAGTCCCCCTACCTTTCCCCCTCCCCTCTTGGGCCGCCACTCACTGCACCACAACCACAGCCAGTAACTTTTATGATCTTGGAAGTCGATTTCTATACGACACCAACGCTGTTCTGCGTATCGGGAGAATCATTGTCTGTAGACGACTTAACCCGTGACTTTTAGTTCTAACTTAGAGAAAGTTTGAAACATCTGATGGAAGTAACTTATATGGAAGTAACTTATTAAATATTTTCAATAAATGTCTCACTCAAATAGATGATAGACAAAACATTCTATAACGCATAGATTTCTATGACAACCTCGTCAGTCAGCCGCGCAGGTGAGGGACAAAGAGTCTCAAGCAAATCAGTGCCGATCACCGCACCGGCTGGCGGACAGGTGGTGAGGACAAAGCAGCCGTGAGAAAAATCAACATTCCGAGCGTTCCCGGCCATTCCCGAAGCTATTCCCACCGCATTCCAGGCGAGCATTCCGGCACATAAGTTAGGGAGGGGCCGAGGAGGGGGGGGGGTCTGTTGACAGGTGGGGCGCCATTGTTGTTGTCTGACGTCACAGGTTTAGGCAATGGTGGCCGTGGTGGTGGGTGCGCGCCAGTCGTGTGGACTTTCTTTTGTCCAGCGCTGTTGGGGTTAAGAGTTGCCTACACGTCGGGGGTCGCTGTCGTAAGAAAGACAAATAAATATATTTCTTTATTCATAATGATTCTACAATAATTCCAAATTGTGATATCAAATTATTATAAATGTGTCCAACTAAGGAGCTTCCTGTAGTAGCTCCTCTCCTCTCCTAGTAATTATGCCTAAATCTACCCTGGCTTCCTTCCTTCCTCCCGGGGCATCTGGCTTCCCTCTCCTCCTCCTCCTGGGTGTCCTGGTCACTTTCCCTCCCCTTCCATAACCCAACCTTGCCCTTCCTGCACCTTCCTTACGTCCCCTCACCCTGGTGCCAGCCACCTGCTGCCTCGCTTCTCCTTCCCTCCTTCCCTCCCTCCCTCTCCCAGGAGGCGACATAGGAGGGGAGGGTATAAGTCCTATTGAGTTCTACCCCTCCACACTTAACGTGCCCAGCGGGGAACACACTGG